TGTCAGCGCCGCCGCGGCCCGTGTCGTGGCATCGCTCGGACGTGTGAATTTTCCCTTCGGCGAGGACCATCGAGGAGCATCCTTGAGCATTGGGCGAAAAAGCCACGCACGAAACCGAAAAAAACAAAGGGAATGGACGTCCGAGCGATGGCGAGGTGTCCATTCGAGACAGGAGGCCGCTTGCCCAACCGCGGCCGCTGCTGGTTTGGGACAACATCTGTTGTCGGGCATTGTGCCCACTGTGTCCGTACCCGGTTCGGGCGTCCACAGCCGTCGTACTGAGTGTGCCTGTCGTCTTACTCGTGGTACTTCTCGTGCTTGATGGCGCACTCAGTGCCCTAGCCGCCAGGAGTGTCGTACTTGGTATCGTACTCGCCCTGAGGCTGCCTGTCACGGAGCTCGTTGTAAGAGTACTGCGCCTTCTTGAGTGATGACATCGTGACAGTCAGAATGTCTCTGGGATCTGGCTGTCCTCCGTGTCCGACCTGGCATCCATACGCCTCAGAGCAGGTTGCAATCCGATCCTCGGCGCTGCTGGCGGCAGGTCTCCTCCATGGGAGTCGTCGTAGCTCTGGTGATGATCTGCGCGCACGCTCACCAGGGCGTGGCTCTGACCAGATCAGATCGAAAACGGGACTTTTCACTTGAAGCTCGCTGAGGGGCAGCGAACGCGGTTTCTGGGGCGACGGAGGAGAGGGCAATACTTTTGTAGGGCAAGAGGAAGCATGAGCAGCCCAATCGTCGGCAAGAGCAAACCTGAAATCAGAGCTTGTCGCGAAGGGCGGCTGGAAGGATTGCTGTTGACCGATCAAGCGCGCCCGCCGAGCGTACGGGGATCTGGCCCTGGAAACAACGCTGCCCCCCCAGCGACCTTCAACTTCTCACAGCTCTGGCGTGGACCACGTTCACTGCGGCATGGCGCCCGCCGGGCCCGTGGCGCGGCCGGCGGAGAAGGCGCCCCCCCCCCCGCACCCTGGCGTGCGGGGGCACGAGTTTCTCGCTAATCGCGCTTTGTCTCTTCCTCCTCCTCCTGCTCCGCACTTCCATCCCCCCCCCCACACCCTGGCGTGCGGGGGCACGAATTTTTCTCGCAAGTAGCGTTTTGTCTCTGCCTCCTTCTGCTCCGCACTTGCATCCCCCCCCACCCTGGCGTGCGGGGGCACGAGCTTCTCGCAAATGGCGTTTAGTGTTTTCCTTCTCCTGCTCCGCACTTGCATCCTTTCTCCCCTCTGCTGCTTCACCCTCCAGCGTATGCAATGGAGCCATTCTGCTGTCTTCCTCCCTCTCCCCCCCTCCGCCAGCGTCTCTTCACGCCTTTCCCCCTCCTGCTCTGCGCCTGTTTCCTGGCCTGCCTTCTCTCCTCCTCATCTCTCCCTCCTCCCTCTCCTCCTCCGTCTGTTCTTGGCTGTTCTTGTTGCCCTCTGGAGATGCCATCTCTACGAACCTCTGAACACTTGGGGCACCCTCACGCCAGCAGGCTCCCCGCGCAGGAGGGCCCCGTGGCGCCGCTGAAGTCCATCGAGCAGCCGGAGGAGGACCGGGCCGGCGCCGAGCATGCTGTTGCGCGCACGTGCTCGCCGGCATTGGGTCGCCGGGCCGCCCGCGTGCCGCGCGGGAGGAGGGACGAGGAGGAGGAGGGCGGTGTTGAGCGGTGCTCGGGGGCTCTGCTGCTCGGCTTGGCTTCTTATTGCGATGCCACGGGGCACGAGGACGGAAGACACCTCGTAGCTCAAGCCACACATTGCCTGCACCACACTGTTGCCCCCCCCCCTGCATTGCCTGCGCCACAGATATCGCTCCGTATAGTTTCAAGGTAGCTTTCACCAGTTAGATGTATGTATGTGTATGTGTAGATGTGGACTGTACACGTATATATCGATCTATATATATATATGTATATGTAGATGCATGGTGTATGTCTTCATACATACATGCATGTAGGTGTGTGGTTTTGTATGTATGTGCATGTGTTTGTGTATGCGTATGTGTGTATGTATGTATATGTAGATGTGTGCATATATGTATGTATGTATGTACGTGTGTGTGTTCATGTATGCATGCATGTATGTGTATACATGCATGTATGTATGTTTGTATGTATGTATATGTATGCATGTTCGGATGTACGTGTGTACGCGTGTATGTATGTTTATGTATGTTGGTATGTGTGCATGCATACATGCATGCATGCAACCATATATGTATGTTGGCATGCGCGTATGTAAGTGTGTACTCATACATCTGCATGTGTGTATGCATGTCTGCACGCATGTATGTATACATGTATGCATGTATGTGTGTATGCATGTATAAATGCACGTATGCGTGTGTGTATGTTTGTGTGTATGTATATCGGTAGGTAGTTCGGTATACACTGAGGTATGCGTGTGTTTGTATGCATGCATGTCTATATGTCTGCATGTATGCATGTATGCATGTATACATGTCTGTACGTATGCGTACGCATGTCTGTATACATGGATGCATGTGTGTATGCATGTATGTATGCACGTATGCATGTGTGTACGTTTGTGTGTATGTACATTGGTAGGTAGTTTGGTACACAGGTAGGTATGGTTGTGGTTGTATGCATGCATGCATGCATGTCTGCCTGTACGCATGTATGCGTGTATACATGTCTGTACTGTGCGTATGCATGAATGTGTGTATGCATGCGTGTTTCCATGCATGTAGACAGGTCGGTATGTATATATACATATCTATAGGCTTGCATGTATGTATGGGTGTCTGCATGTATGTGTGTGCATGGCTGTCTGTCTATATGCCAGTCTTTATGTCTGTATGTATTTCTGTCTGCCTGTCTGTCTGTACGTGTGTATGTGTGTATGTATGCATGTATGTATGTATGTGTGCAGGTGTGTATGTATGTATGTCGGTATGTCGGTATGTCTGTATATACATTTATGTATACAGCAACACGAAGATTATCACACACAGCGTGCACCATGCAGCTCAACCATACAAAGTGCAACATCATCATGTTACTAGACTACGCTGGCAAGCATATGAATGCTCGACCCTCTTCGATCCTCGCGCCTCGTGGATTATCGATCCTTCCCGATCTTCGAACATGATCGAACCTTGATCCTTCTCGATCCTCGATCCTCCTCGATCTTCAAGTTTCATCGGTCACCGATCTCCCTCGATCCTCAATCCTCTAATCTCCCCGATCCTAGCTCATCCTCGATCCTCTATCTTATCGATCCTCGAACCTCTTCGATCCCGATCCTCCTCGATCCTCGATCCTGCGCGGTCCTCGATCCATATCAGCAAGCCGCCCCCCCAACACAGGAACCCACGCCGGAGCCAAGCGACGACCTGGCCACCTCCCCAGCGGTGATGTCCAGTCCGTTCAGCGGGAGGACAGAGTCCGAGAAGTGGGCGCTCAAGCACTGGAAGAAGTCTTCTCCAAAATCCAAACTCCTCCTCCTCCTCCACCTACCTCCTACCTCTTACCTCCTACCTCCTACCTCCTACCTCCTCTTCGTCCTCCTAATTACCTTCTATCTCCTCCTCTTCCTCCTCCCCTTTTCCTTCTCATTGCTGATGGCTGAACGGGTCGTCTCCTCCTCCCCTCCTCCTCCTCCTCCTCCTCCTCCTCATTCCTCTCCTGCTCCTCCCAATCCTCCTCTCGTCGTCGTCCTCCTCCTCCTCCTCCTCCTCCTCCTCCTCCTCCTCCTCCTCCTCCCCCTCCTCCTCCTCCTCCCCCTCCTCCTCCTCCCCCTCTTTCCCCCCTCCTCCCTCCTTCTCCTCCCTCCTCCTCCTCCACCTCCTCCTCCTCCTCCTCCTCCTCCTCCTCCTCCTCCTCCTCCTCCTCCTCCTCCTCCTCCTCCTCCTCCTCCCCCTCCCGCCCACCCGCACCACCTCGAGGTCGTGGGAGGGCCACCTGGAGGCCGCCTCGCCCCCTGCGGACAGCGACGGGGAGCAGAGCCCCCACTGGGGCGCGCGCCAGGAGAGGCTCAACCCAAACGGGGGCGCGCTCGGGCAGGCAGAGGGGCTGGGGGGGGGGGGCGAGGGAAGGAGGGGGAAGCTAGGGAGGGGAAGGGGGAGGGAGGAGGGGGGAGGGAGGAGGGGAGGGGGGGCGAGGGGGAGGGGGGGCATCCCCCTCCCCTCCCCCTCTCCATCTCAGATGTGGGAGGGCAGACGGGAGACGCAGAAGAGCCTCCAGGTCGTCGTCGCCGTCGTCGTCGTCCTCGTCGTCCTCGTCGTCGTCCTCGTCCTCGTCCTCGTTCTCGTCGTTCGTCGTTGCCGTCGTCGTCATCCTCCTCCTCTTCTCATCTTCCTCCGCCTCCTCCGCCTCTTCCTCCCCCTCCTCCTCCTCCTCCCTCCTCCTCCTCCTCCTCTTCCTCCTCCTCCTCCTCCTCCTCCTCCTCCTCCTCCTCCTCCTCCTCCTCCTCCTCCTCCTCCTCCTCCTCCTCTCGATGGGCTGCCGCTGGGGCACGCGCCCGAAGAAGGGCTCCAGGCACGGGAGGCGGATGCGAGGGCTCGGGACGGCGGCGCCGTCGAGAGCCGCCCTCTTCGGGCAATCTCTCCGGTGGGCCCCTGGCAGGGGCTCCGCGAAGGCCTCCGCGGAGGCCTCCCTCGGGCAAGGGGAGGGGCTGCAGGGGCCTCCAGGGACGTCGTTCAAGGGAGGAAACCCACCCGGACCCGACAATTGACGTTTACTAAACGGCCCTGGGCGTTTACTAGACAGCCCTGCCCTGCTCGATTCCTTCCTCGGGTGCGTTTGCTAAACTGCTGTGCTTGTCTGGGGGTGATGATTATGGGGGGGGGATTTTCTGCCTTCTAGACATGGCAGCAGGGAGGAGCGGGGAGAGGGGACATGTTGAAAGCATTAGTGCGGCACGGCGTGCAGAGAACACATAGACACAGGAGGGAGGAGAGTGAGGCATCAGCCAGTGCCGTCACCGCGACCTCGCGCTCCACCCCCGCCGCAAGGCCCGCATCGGGTGGCACCACGCAGCTGGGGAAATTACGTTGCGCGGTACGTGCCAAGTTCTTGCTTCTCGCGCCCCTTCTTAGAAGGTTCGGAACAGCCAGCTGGCGCCGGCCACAGTGGCTGTACGCCCGCAATGGTGGCAACAATGCATGCTGAAACGGTCCCAGAAGCCGAGACGATGAGACTCACATAACGTGAGACCACAAACCACCACTGGCACGGGAGCCGAAAAGACCACATCTCGGGGATACTTCTGGGCCGAAGCGAACAAACAATCCGACGCGCAAAATTGACGCGCGCAGCCTTATCTCTCTCGGTACCCAAGCGGGCTCTCCCGTGGACCTCCAGGGAGCCCTTGGCCTTACGAGGATCAACCTCAGCTGCGTCAGAAAGAGACCTCCGAGCACGTCTCGTGACCAAGGCAGCGGAGGTGTGCCACTGGTCAGTGGCGGGCGCATCACTCACGAGGCCCATCGACCAATTTCGCTCGGCAGCCTCGCTAGCAGTAACATCCGCTGCCGCATTGCCAATGGCTGGAACCCCCTCGGCTCTCAAGAGCTCCTCCACCTGCGGAGCCACAAATCCCCGTTCCGACCGTCACAAACGCGAAATTTCCCCGGTCCTACCCGACGAGAAGAGGCTCATGGCCCGTGGTAAAACGGACCACACTTTTTTGAGCCCTCAAGGGCTAGCGCAAACGCGGTGAGCTCTGAACCTGCAACCGCTTGCGTCCGTCCCGCGAGGCCCGCCGAACCCCCGCGAAACCTCGCCAAGAACCCCCGAGCCAAGAGGGCACTGGCGCATGACGGCTGCACTGGAACCACACCCTCGGCGACGGGGACGAGAAGAAAAGCGGCCTCCAGACCCGCACCGGTGATTATGCCGGGCACGCAAGCACCCTCCGAGGGAAGCCTCGTGGACTTCAGCAGGGGCCGCAGCACCCCCGTCGTGAGCACAAGTCGGGTGGGCAGGCCCGTCGGGAGCACGCCTCCCGAGCCCAAGGTCTGGAAGAGCCTCGGCACCAGCCTCATAAGCTTGCGGGACCAAGCCGTCGCTCTCGCCACAGTCCTCGCTGCCAGTGTTTGCCTCGCACAGTCTAGCCTGCCCCGGCCTCGGGCAGGGTGGGGCTGGGCATGCTGGGATGACGGGGCGGGGGGGGGGGGGGGACCGCGCGCGCGCTCGCAGCGCTGCAGGGCGGCGCGGAGAGGGGGCGCGCTTGGCGGCCGCGGCCCGCGCGGGCGCGGCCGCCCCGCAGCGATGGCGCCTGCGGGGGGTCCCCTGCCCCATCTTCGTCGGCCGCGCTCGATGTATCAGAGTACTGGTGCACTGTTTACATCGGGGACATAGCTGGTCTGCCGAGGAGCCCCAGGGAAACCTCTTCACGCGGGGCCTCCGGGGTCCCCCAGTAGCGGCCTTCGTGAGGCCGCGTTTGTTGTACAGCCCCTCTTTGTACAAAAACGAAACAGTTCGCGGCGGACTAGCAGGAGAACACCCCCGCCGTTCGAATAAGATGCTGGTTCATGCTGAGATGCCGCCCCCCAAAGCTGCGACCTACGACCAAAACATAAATCCTTCAGGAGCTCGGAAACCTCGAACTCGGACGACCCATAACCTGGCTGAGTGAAGATACGGACAGACCAATCTGCCACCAGCCCACCAGAATGGCGGCGCTGCCAAGCTGGAGCTTCTCTCTGAGGTCCCAACCAACATCCATCAACGCGGCCTGTACAGCCGAGACTGGACCTCTGACCTCACGCCACTCACATCGACCAGCCTGCGTGAGGCGACGAGGAAAGGCTCCCCGGGCTCTCTTCACTCCTGGCACGACACTGGGGACGCTGATGCCAACACATCACGAATTCTGTAACAACCTGCCTTCTGAGCTCAACCCCAGGATCTTTCAACTCCAGATCGGCCTCAACCACCGTGGCGAGACACTGGCCTGGAATCTTGCCACAAGCAGACGTAGCTGCCTGCCAACGTAGCTTGAGGAAAGTACTGGGCGCAAGCCCGTGCACCTGGCGTGCGTGCGAACCCTGAGGAAGCGCTCCAGTGGACCCGAGACGCTAGGAAGGCTTTTCTTAGGGAAGCATTTCTTCTTCTGATCCCAAATCCCAGGCTGCCATGCGGCTTGCCGCCTTAATACGAGAGTTGGATTTGGCAACCGAGCGAAGACTGTCAGAGCTGTCATCAGCACCGAAATCAACCCCCTGTCCTGGCAAAAAGAATGGGGATGCCCTGATCCCTAGGCTTGGCGGACACACGCTTTCCGAGGCCAGGGGAGGAGGAGGGCATTAACAGGGTCTCGCTGGAAACTACAAGGCGGCCTTGTGAAATCTCCCCGTTGAGAGCCATCGACAATTTCAACATACCTTGCTCAGCAGCTTCGGTGCCTTCCACGCGCAGAACAATGTCATCAATAAGCGTCCATCTGGAAGCAACACCAGCCTTTTTCACGAGCAGCCTCGTGGAGAGGATGCCCTGACACTGTGGGGAGACCTCGCCGCCAACGAACGGGCTGGCAAACTCACGACGGTGGCTGGAACATGAAGCTGCAACGCGGCACGACCTAACAAGACCCACGTCTTTCTTGTCCCGCTCCCACTCCTCGAGCACTGACTCCTCGAGTTCAAGCTCGCCAATGTCGAACAATGGACCCTCGACCCGAGAATGGGGGGGGGGAGAGGGAGAGATGGATGAGGAGAGGGGGGAGGGCGCGGGTGGGTGGGGGGGGGAGAAGGAAGGAAGGAATGACACAGAGCGGCAGAAGCAGGATGGGGAAGGGGAGGGAGAGAAGGAGGCCAGACATGATGGGCCGATCTCCACCACCACTACCATAGGTACGCAGATGGAGGAGGAGGAGGAGGAGGAGGAGGAGGAGGAGGAGGAGGAGGACTTCTGCATGCTCCCTTCTCCCCGTCCTGCCAAGCGTCGTGGCGTGTGGAGCATGCACCCGTCAAGAGACGGGACAGAGCAGTCAGGCAGACGGGCAAGCAGGCGGGGCACACCCGACGGAACCGAGCAGGTCCGGCGGACGGACAGGCGATGCGGACAGCGGGAGGACTCCCTCGCTCGTGGCCGCCTGCGGCCGGCCGTGGAGCAGCTCCAGCCTTAGTGGGCCCCGGAAACGGCAGGGCCGTTTTTTCACCGTTTCCAAAAACATGTCCTTTGAAAATGGAAACGGCAAAAAAACGGCGACCGGAAACGGCAAAAAAACGGCTCCAGGATTGGAACCGGAGCCGGAACCGGTCACCGGCGACGGAACCGGTAAAAAAACGGCGTCGGAACCGGCATAAAAACGGCAAAACGGAACCGGTAAAAAAACGGCCTTGTCGTTTCCAGGGGCCACTAAGGCTCCAGCGGCCAGACGCCCTTCACCAGCGGGGCAGCAGTGGCAGGCCAGCCACAGCTGGGGGAGCTGTGGTTCTTACCCCCCCCCTTGGGGGGCCCTTCGATGTCGACACGCCTCTCGAGGGATCGTCGATGCGACGGGTTCCCCCAGGTGGCGAAGGACCACAGCTCCCCCAGTTATGGCTGGTCGGAGTGGCCTCGTCCTGCCACACGTCGCTCTAAGAGTGATCGCGCGGCTTAGCAGGGCAGCAGCGACCTCAGCCTACCCCACGTCGCCAAGCGCCGTCGGGGCCGTTTGTTTCGGGCGGCGGTCGCGCCCCCCCCCCCCCCTCTCCCCCGTCCCTCGAAGAAGAAAAAGAAGAAGAAGAATGAGGAGGGGAAAAAACACAGACAACATGTATCGTCGATTCCCCAGAACATATAGGAAAATATGGGCAGTGGGGGGGAAGGCAGAAACCCAGAACATATGAAAGAATAGAAGGTTTCTTGTTTGTGTGTATTTATTTGTGTGTCCCAGGGCCCCTTCAAAAAAGAAGACACGGGTGCACAAGCACAAGCTCTCGGAGGTCCGCCCAGATTCCTCGCGTCGGCGCCGGGGCCCCCCCTGGGGGGCGCCTCCGCCGCCGGCCCCTGCGCGCCCCGCGCGCCAGGAAGTCGGCCCAAGATCTCAGCGCGGACCTCCAAGAGTTTTTTGCTTGTGCTGGTTTTGTTCCTCCGCTTCGCCGCCCGTCCTCCCCCCCAACCGGCGGAGTCATCGTCGTCGCTCTCCTCGTACCTCATGCCTCCCCAAGCCGGCTTCTCGTCCTTCTCATCGTCTTTATCCTCCGTTGCCTCCTCCTCTTTCTCCACCTCCACCTCGCCGTCGTCGTCCTCCTCCTCCTCCTCCTCCTCATCCTCCCTCCCCCTCCTCCCCTTCTCGTTCTTCCCTTCTCGCCCTCCCCATCCCCCCCATCTCGCCCCCTCGCCCTCCTCGAGCCCTCTCTCTCGTCCTCCGCCCCTCCCCCCGTCGCCGTCACCGTCGCTGCAGGAGAAGAGCCCCCGCAGGGACAGGGGCTGCCCGCCGTGGGGCGCGAGCCTGGGCGCCGGTCGCGCGCTCCTCGAGACGGAGCTCAGGGTGAGGGACGCGGCAGAGGCCCCACTCCTCCTCCTCCTCGAGGCCCTCCTCCTCCTCCTTCTCCTTCTCCTCCTCCTCCTCCTCCTCCTCCTCCTCCTCCTCCAGGTCTTCCTTCTCCTCCTCTTGCTCCTCCTCGAGCTTCCCTTCCTCCTCGAAGTCCTCCTCCTCCTCCTCCTCCTCCTTCGGGTCCTCCTCCTCCCCCTCCTCCTCCCCCCCAAGATCTCCCATCGTTGGGTTCTCCTCCGTCATTATTTGTCCTTCTAAATCGCTTCTCCCTGTCGCACGCCCAGGCGTGTCGGTAAGGCGGGCCAGGCGTTTCGCTCAAGACGTTCTCTCCATTTCTGATCATGAAGCTCGAGAAGTGGAACAATTCCATACACGCTGAGGAAGTGGATGGCTTCAAGCATGGCGCGCTCGCTTTAGCCCTGCGCGCATTCGTTTTCACTCTTTGCAGCATGTTCCAGGATGAATCACTGCTGGCGTTCACCATGGTGCCCTCGTCTTAGCACCGCGCACATTCTTTCACATGCTCGCAACCGCTTCAATGGCGAACGGGTGATGGTTTTCAAAACGGGGTTCTCGCCTCAGCGCCTCGCAGACTCGCGTTAACACTTGTCAACAGCCTCAAGGTGGGACTCTCGACTTGGCGTCGCGCGCATCCGTCTTGAAAGCATCCACCATGTACAAGGTTGGATAAGGGTCATCGTCAACATTGGGCTCTCGACTTTGCGCCGTGCACATTCGTCTGAGCATGTTGCAACTGCCTCTGGGATAGAGGGCGACGGCTCTTTCAGACAATAAAGTTGCTGCCGCCTGATGCGTCTTTACACTTGGACACCAGAAACTGGCGAACATTTGAAGTAGCTGCACGGATGGAGAGCTGCTCCCGTTCAAGATGGGACTCTCGCGAGAGACCTCCCCGGTGTTCATGACCAGAAGCCAACACCTGCCCAGCCATTACACAGATCGAGGGGGCAACGTACACGATAGTACAGCCTGGCGACGTGCATGACAATTGCCGGCACGCTGGGGGAGGCGAGTTGTGTATATATTATCGCTGTCCGCACCCATCTCCTGCTCCTCCAAAGAAAAACATACACAGCTGAAGGGGGGGGGCGGTCCTCTCTCAAAGCGGCTGCCTCGCTGGACACCTCGTTGAACTGCATGGATGGCTCCGGCCCCCCCCGCGCGGCAGCCCCCTCGCGCGGGCCCCCGTTCCCGGCGGCGCCGCGCGCCCGCCTCGGCCCCTCCTCGCATGCGGGGCGCCGCTTCCTCACAGCATGCAGGGCAGTTCCTTGTCAAAACGGTGCGCTTGTCCAAATGGCAGGCCCCTCCTCCTCCTCCCCCTCCTCCTCCTCCTCCTCCTCCTCCTCTTCCTCCTCCTCCTCTTCCAGGGCGACGCTTCCTCACAGCATGCAGGGCAGTTCTTTGTCAAAACTGTGCGCTTGCCTAAATGGCAGGCCCCTCCTCCTCCTCCTCCTCCTTTTCCTATTTCTTCTCCTCCTCCTATTTCTCCTCCTCCTTCTCCTCCTCCTCCTCTTCCAAGGGTGGCGCTGTTTGTAGTGAAACGGAAGGCCTGCAGGGCTTTGGGCGAGAGGGTGTGTCGCAGCATCGTTGATGCATCTTGGGCTTACCCTGGTATTCCTCTGCCGCTCGCGGTGCCCCTTCTGCCGCGCCTTCGTGGCGCCACGCGCGCGGAGCCGAGGCGCAGTCTCGTCCTCTTTGCGCGAGGACCCAGGATTACCTTGTCAGCCCATTCGGCCTCACGAGCCCGTTCGGCTGCCGAGCGGACTCGGAATCGAACCGATTAGGCTGTTCCAGCCGCCTTACCTTACTTGGGACTTGAGCCCATTTGGCTGCCCAGTCGGCGGCTGAGTTGGCTCAGACGTCGAAAGGACTCAGAAAGGCGTCCTGGGGGAGGGGGGTTCGAGGACCGAGGCTTTGTCGACGTCCTCAGCCCTCTTCGGGCCCGCGGAGGCCCTTCGGAGGCTTCCGAGGACTTCCTCAGCCTCTTCCTCCTCCTCCTCCTCCTCCTCCTCCTCCTCCTCCTCCTCCTCCAGGTGGTTGAGCAGCGGGGAAGCCTTTTTCACGGAGGCCGCCCGCACACCTCGACCCCCAGCCCCATTTTTGGGCGGCCTCGCGACGGGCGCGCAGCCGCGATCGCGCTCGCCCGCGTGGCATCGGCGGGCCAAGCGGCTGAGAGCCGCTGCCCGAGAGTATCTGCGGCGTGAGGCTCACGTTTCTCGGCTTCTACGACATCACGGGAGTCAGCCGCCCACCATGGGCAAGGGTAGTGACCGGAGCTCCGCAGATCTGCACACTAAGTGTGGTGTATGTGGCACGTGCGAATGGAACTCGTTGTTGGCTCAGCGGGACAGGTACTGTCGGTGTGGGGTGCAGCTCTCGTTGCACAGGAAGAAGTCCAAGGGCAAGGGCGGCGAGCAGGACACTCTCGCCCTGAAGTTGCCGCAGGACCGCAAGAGCACCCCAGATGCGACAGCGGTCTTGAAGAGAGCGGCCGAGCTTGCCAAGGACCCCGCACTCAAGAAGGCACTGGAAGCGGAGTTGGCTCAGTTGGTGGAGCCACCCACCGGGGCCGCAGTCTCGGCGGGGCCGCAGTCTCGGCTGAGGCAGCCTGGCGGGGCGCCAATGCGAAGTACGACGCGGCTGTCAAGGCCGTGGAGAGGGCGGCGGAACAGCTTGCCCAAGCACGGCTTCGTGAGGAAGAGACGGTGCGCACACTGGCGCAGGCCGAGCTCGCCAAGAGGACGGCCGTGAAGGCCCTCGCGGCGGAGGTGGGCCTCACATCGCAGGCGCCAGAGGCAGGATCATCTCCCGAGAAGACAGGGGGGGACCTCAGCTTCGACGTCGTCTGGGATGAGAATTTCTTCGCGTCGCTCCATGACGGCACCATGGAATGCGAGGAGGCCGAGAAGAAGGAATTGCTCCAACTCGAGAAGGACCTAGTCGCGGCGAAGTCCTATCTCGGCGAGAAGGGGGACAAGGTGCGGGAATGGTATGCCCGCATGGAAGTCCTCAGGAATGAGTTGGCCTCGAGGATGGCCAAGAAGCGCAAGGGTGCGGACGGCAACGCGAAGGCCACCAAGAAGACGGACGAGCCAGCAGCTGCCGCGCCTGGGACAGCACCCGAGGAGCCCGCGCCCACGGCGACGGAGACGGAGTCCAGGCGCGCATCGATGCGGAGGTGGAGCGCATCCGCAACGCCAAGGCAGCGGCGGCGCAGGCTGCGGCTGCCACGGCAGCCCAGGCCGCCCAGGCGGCGCAGCGAGCCGCGGCCAAGGGCGGCGGGCGCGGCGCTGGCGCGGCGGCGCGAGGTGTCTCGGCCCCTGCAGCACCTCCGCTTTCGAGCGTCGAGGGGGCAGGGGCTGAGGCCGCGGGAGCATCAGCAGTCCCCACTGCTGGTGCTTGCATCGGCGCCGCTGGCGCAGGGGGAACTACAACGTCGCCGAGACTTTCGGCATCTTCGGGCGCGCAGGACCCCCCCCCACCCACGGCAGTTGCCACTGGTGCCGTGGGCCCTCCAAGGGAGGCTAAGGGGGAGGGCTTGCCCAGTGCATCAAGCACTTCGCCCACTGGGTCGTCGTGTGGGGCTTCGACCGCAGGAGCAACGGCAGGCGCCCAAGGGCAGCGAGCAGGGCCAAGCGCTGAGCAGCCTCAGCGTGGCCAGGGCGCGGGGGAAGCTGGCGCCGCAGCATCTGCAGCTACGGAGCAGTCGGGGGACCGCGAAGTGGCGCAGGTATTTTTCTTCGAATATCACGACTTTGGGTCGCAAATCCCAGGGAGTCAAGCATGTCAGCATTTCGCATTATGTAAGACTCATGCAGGGCCAACATCAACTTACAAATGGACCAAGTTGGCTCGTCAGCATAAACTTAGACTTCTCGCCAACCCAGCCAGAGCGACGGGGACTCGGTGTCGTGCAGAGTCAGGTAAGCTCAGAGCTACGGAGGGAGGAGAAATGTTCCTGTCGCAGGGGCATCGCCACGTACATGGATTATGCAGTGGTCGCTTTGGGGAACTGTATGCTGATGGGCACAAGCAGCTGGCCGGGTTCTTGCCAGTTGTCCTCCACCAGCAGGGGTTCAGTATAGTGATCATTGTCTTCTACGGTAGGTGTAGCCTCGGCATGCGCGCAGAAAACCTTGCTAGATTTGCTCGACTCGGCACGCTTTTACAGGCCCTTCATCTCCCGTGGGTAGTGTTGGGTAATTTCAATTTGGCCTCGTCGGAGCTCCAGCGCGCCGGCTTCCTCGCCAAGATCGGGGCGTCGGCATTGCGTGCCCCTGTCGAGAACGCGTGCGTTGGAGCTAGCGGCTCATCTCACATCGATTTTGCCTTAGTCTCTAGAGCTGCGGCCCCGTATGTCCTGGGGCTTCACGCTATCCAGGACGCCCCATGGAAGCCGCACTGTGGGCTAGTTTTGCAGTTGAGAGGGGCAGGTGAGCAATTAATCGCGCGTTCGTTCGTCCTGCCCCAGCGTCTTGCCCAGGTCTCTCGTCCTCAGCAGCAGGAGACCCCAGGCTCTAAGTCTTCCCAGGCGCGTAGGCCGCAAGCGTTGCGTCAGAGTCTTGCTCGCGAAAAGCAATTGGAGCGCTCGGACCAGTTGCTCGGGGATTTGCTTGCCGACTCTCAGCGAAATTCGCCCCTTCCTCCGTCGCCCCCCACCCAGCCTGGCCAGCATCCCGGCGCGGGGAGTGGGCCGACGGGCGAGCCTGAGATGCGGGAAGGTTGTTTTGTAGGTTTTGCGGACGATGAGGCGCACCCCTGGGCCGAGGAGCCCAATTGCGTCGAGCCCCTTCCGCCCCGCCCCCGCCCCCTCCCCCCCCCCCCCAAGGAGTGGCGGTGAGCGGTTCTGCTGCCGCTTCTGGGCAGGTCTCGGTTGTTGGGAGGGCTGCTCCGATGAATTCGCCCGCCCCAGTTCCAGTTGCGAACGAAGTCGCGAATGAACCTGTTGAGACCCCCCCCCCAGCGAGATCGACCCCAGGGCTGAAGCAGTAGATCAACCCGACTCCCACGGTGGCACTCCCATCGTTCCGCCCTCCTGCGCTGCTTGTGCTTTTGCGCTCTCGCCCGACCGCTGGCGTTTGGCTCGAGCCCGTTCGGGCTTCCATTTGCGCGCTCCTGACCGAGTCTGGGAACCCATCCGCGACTCGCTTTCATATGAAGTTGGCCTTGCGCATGTCCTCAGCGTGAGCGGGGCCTTCTCTGCCTGGATCGCGGCGGTCGAAGCAGTGCACCACGTGCGCGCCGGCACGGAGGAAGGGTGCGCGCCTTCCAGGGCAGACGGTCCATCTATGAGGATCGAGAGAGCGCATCACTCAGCATCATCGCGACATGCCCTTCAAAGACGCGATCGCGAACTGGTGGGGGAGGGTGCGCGTTATAACAAGCAAGATGTGTAGACACGGGCGAAGAGGGAATGGAGCCGCTCAACTTCGTGAGTTGGCTCAGGCGGGGAGTAGGCTTGGTGCGCAGGCCCCCGATGGCGTTCAGAAACTGGCGGGGGCGGGGCCAGAGGCTACTTCATGGCCAGTGTGGCAGCAGCTCTTGCAGGACCTCGCCAGTGCGCCGCACCAGCAGATGGACTCTTTCAGTGCGGAGGCGAAGGTCATTGCAGGCAGGGCGCGCAGCCGCGCCACCTCTTCGTCCATGGCAGATTTCAAGACATGGATCACCGACAACTCTACGACGGGTGCCATCCTTAGGGCCTCAAAGAGGTCCCTCAGTCCGCTGATCAGATGGAAGTCGGTGGTAACATGCTGTCTCACCCCCATGATTTGGTGGACCACCGTGCAGCTCACTGGCGCAAGCTATGGACATCCGCCGAGGTTAAGGATCGCAGCGAGGTTCGGAACCTGTCCGGCACCATCCAGGAGCGCGCGCGGTTGGAGCCACTCCCTCCGCTGGACCTCGACGACGTGAGGCGAGCCTTGCGCGCCATGAAGGCACGAGCGGGGCAGGGCATCGACCGCCTGTCCCCGCTCGACCTGGAGCGACTCCCAGACGAGGCCCTTTCAGAATTAGCGGAGCTTTTCAACATGTTCGAGGAGTGCCAGACATGGCCGTGGCAGTTGATGGGAGTCTTGGGCAGGCTCCTGCCCAAGAAGGCTGAAGGTCAATTTCGCGTCATAGGCCTGATTTGTGTTCTGTGTACGGTGTGGTCCCTCGCACGTGAGCCAGTCGCGCAGACATGGGCTCGGGCAGATCAGCCTTCATGGGGCGCAGCTGTACGAGGAAATTCGTCGCTCAAAGAAGCGCTCATGAGAGCGCTCGACGACGAGCTATATACCAGGCTCAAGATGGCGAGCGGCCATGCGCTGGCAGACATCCAGAGTTTCTACGACATGATGGAATAGAGTACCCTGGTCAAGGGTGCTTTCAGATACGGTTTCCTAGAATTGCAGACATGTGCGGCCCCGCGGATGCTCGACCAGGGCGACGCGGTGTCGCTGCCGTTTCAGGCCACGAGGAGCATCATCCAGGGGCTGCGCTCGGGCACGCGCTTCGCTCGTTGTGTTACCAGCCTGGTAATGGAGCGCCTGACGGTGGCACACCCAGCGTTACCGGAACGGTTGTGGAGACTTGAGCTGCGGGAAGAGGCTGGGACGTTCGACTCGGAACCTGCGCATGGCCAACACCAGGAAGCAGCATGGTCGTCTTCGGAAATATGCTGGAGCGTCTAGGCGCTTCAAGGTGCTCAAGAAGATAGAGCTGGCGGGCCCGCAGGCGGGGGCGCGTTACGGCCATCAAGTTCTTGGACTGCCTGATACGGTGTTGCTGGAGCTTCGGCGCCGACTTGGAGCGGTGTCGGGGTGCCGTCGTGGAAGGTGTTTGACGACGCTGCTCGACCTGAGGGCCCCAGGGGCTGACCCTGGGTACGCCTTGCCTCGCCTGTGCTTGGAGCAGTGGATCCAGCGCTGGCTGCAGTTTCCCAGGGTTCGTGCTTCGGTTGGGCGAGTTTGGGATGATGCAGTGCGTCAGGTCACCGCCCCCGAACCTCGGCATCGTTGGCGCCATGCACGGGGACCACTCACTGCCGTGATCACATACCTGGTCAACGCTGGTTGGGGGGCGCCGCAGGCTACAACGCGGCCCCACCTACTGGCGAGGGATGCGAAGAAGACGGTTGGATGTTTTCATCGGATGAGTTCAAGGCTGTCAATCAAGCACGAGATTTGATTGACCGTTTCACCCAGTCACTCCAGGATAAGATGTGGAGGGAATCCGCAGTCAAGTCTCATTGTGGGGGTGGCATGGAAAACGGCATCGGCAATTTCAGCTTGCGCAGGCATCTGTACCAACTCGAACGCATCCCAGGTCATGGCCGTCAGCTAAGTGAGCTGATGCTGACTATTGCGGTTGGAGGATCTTGGACGGACGACAGGAAGAAGGGAGCTGGCTTGCTGGCACCTGACCTCTGTAGGGGGCGCGGTCAGGCCTTGGAGACCCCCCTTCCACCGTGTGTGGGAGTGTGAGTGTAACCGCGGCCCGCCCGTTTTCGTTGCTTCGGACAGGCTGGTTCCCAAAGCCTTGGCCCAAGCTGATAGCTGTGAATGTTTTTTTTTGGCTCAGGGGCCTTACCCCCAGAGACGTGATTATTTTAGACCCCCCTCCCAACGACGAGTGGTGGGTTTACAGCCACCCGAATGATGATGTTTTTGGCCCGTATTTTGGGGTAGGGTCTCACCTCCAACCCCTCCTCCTCTTTGGGGGCGCGTCGGGGGGCAAGGACACCCACAACCCCCGACTGCGCAGAGTAGGGATTGCAGTTTCTAGCAGCCCCGAGCAACCAGAGGGCACTGGTATTCGTTTCTTGTGTGGCCCACTGCCTGGTCGGCGCCAGTCCGTTCCCAGGGGGGAGTTGCACTGTCTGGTTTCAGCGGTGGCTTACTCTCGAGGGCCACTTGCTTTTGTCACCGACAACGACGAGGTTTGTCGGGGTTTTTGGGCGAATAACTATCTGGCTCCATCAGGGCCGAATGCCGATTTGTGGAGGAAGCTTGGGGAAGTCATTCAGGCGACGGACCGTCATCCTGGTGACCTCGCAGTGCTCCAGATCCCTTCCCACTTAGAGGCTCCGGAAGTTGTCGCTCGTGGCCTGTCGGGGCCCCTCGTAGCTGGGAGCCCCTTTGTGGACCACCTGGTTGGCATAGCTGCTAAGCTTTTCGGGGTCCCCTGTGCGCAAAGGTTTCAGTTGCTCCAGGTCGAGGCCGATGCTCGTTTGATACGTGAACGATTGCTCAGGACCACTTTGGAGGCTATTAAAGCCGAGGGGTCAAAACAACGGCGCCCTGCTGCTGCTGCTGTTGCTCCTCCCCCCCCCCCCGTGGATGTGGCGTTGTTCTCTTCTAGGCACAGCCTGAAGGAGTGTGGGACAAAGTGCTCCAGGTGTCAGAGCTCTACCAGTGAGGCGAATAGGACTCGCTGGCTTAATCATGACTGCTTTGATTTATTGCATGTTTCGGCCACGCTCTCGAAACTTCCCCTGGGTCGGATTTTACATCTCGCTGGGGGCGAGGTCCACGGTTCGCATGTTATGCTGTACCATTCTTCCTTGGACCTGTGGTTCTGTAAGGCGTGTGGTTATTTTTCCCAACAGCAGCTCGCCTCGCGGACGTGTGTCCTGCACGTAGGTCCCCTCCTGTCCCGATCACCAAGTCTCGGAAGGAGTATTTGAGCCGTATCTCTAGGAGTCTATGGCCTAAAGTTCTCAGCGATGCTGAGAAGCGGTCCCGAGGGTTGTAATTTCTTGACTCGCTTCGCGAGTGGTCTCATCTCATCACCTCCTCCTCCTCCTCCTCCTCCTCCTCCTCCTCCCCTCCTCCTCCTCATCCCCGCCTCCTCCTACCCAGCTCGCGTGGCGCCCGCTCGGGAAGCGTGGCGACGCTTCGGGCGCGATGGCCTCGTCAGGGCGGTGCTGAGGCGGCGGCGGCGGCATGCGATGGTAGCCGCCCTCCTCGAGCTCCTGGTGGCTTCTGTTCGACACGATTGGGCCTCCAGGGACCTCAGCGGAGACCTCTCGGGGACTCCAGAGAGTCTCCGGATGTTTTGGGGAGGGCAGCAACGAGTGGAGTGGACGCGCCTTCGCGATCCGGCCTCCAGCCTCCGGGGGTTGTGTTCGGGCCCCGCGGTCACGAGCACGGGGGATCCACGACCCCAGTAAGGATCTTGAGTCAGATTTCAGTCTGACACGTCTGCTACACGCTCGCGTTGGCACACTTTGGTATGCTGTTCAATGCTATGCTGGGCTTTGCTGTGCGGCGTGCTGTGCCACGCCATGCAGGGCGGACCGCGCGTTTCATATGCCCGTCGTCGTAAACACCATCGCTATTGGACATCCCAAGGCTGCCCGAAACAAAATATGACAACCATCAAAAATCAAAACGGGAATAGCACACCGCGCCAGTCGCATCGTTCCCAGATTTCCTGCCGCTTCTCATCCTCCTTCCCCACTTTCTCCTCTTCCTTCTCCGCGCACTTACTTTTGCGCGTGCAAGTTCGCCGGTCACACATGGTGTACCCACCTTGGCGCCCACGCGCGCGAAAGCACGCCTCAAATGATGTTGGATACCCCCCTCCGTGCCTGGACACGTGGAAGCCCAGGCCGGGTGCGTACGCGCCAGGCGCACGAAGCAGGCCTTCTTCCGCGCACGACTTGTCATGTCTTTAAGAGTCCGACGACTGCATGTCCGGCATCCCCTCGGGGCCTTGGACACGTGAAAATCTGCCAAATGCGCACGCCTCAGACGCATGTTGGATAACCCTCTGCCCGCAAAAACTTGCACGCGCGACGAGCCCGCCGACCACATGGTGGATGTTCCTTTTGGCGCGTACACGAATTAGAACAATTGCCCACGCGCGAGACGCATGTTGGGTCCCCCCCACGCCGCGCATGTATGTGCAAGTGCGAAGAATTCCAGAAGCGCACGTTCGACATTCATTTTAATGCCTGGACACGTGCAAACGAGTGATTCATGCGCATGCCCGAGGCGTATGTTGGATCGCCGCCGCCGCGAGCGTACTTTCTTGCGAAAAATCCGGCGACCGCATGTTGGACATCCCCCTGGGGTGAATCCGATGACCACATGTTCGACATTCATTTCGGGACCTGGACAAGTGGAAACCCGTGCCAAAACGAGCACGCGCCAGACGCATGTTGGGTACCCTCGTGTGTGTGTGTGAAGAATTCAGCAACCGCATGCTCAGCATCCCGCCTGTGGCTCCTGTGGCGCCGAAGAAATAGGAGCACACATGCCGAACGCATGCGCGCCGAGATGCATGTTGGATACACCCCCTCTCCGCGTACATCTTTACATGCCCACTTCCGACGTCACCTGCTCGACTCCTCCAGTCTAGGACCAAAGGCCCGCTCACTCAAGGAGAACCCTGGGCCGGAGCCACAACCGGAGCCTCACTACGAAAAACAGACCTCGAGGGATGTCTTGAAATAGTCGCGACGCTGGAGGTCTTGTCTCCCCCCTTTCCCGTGGCACAGCAGGCGATCGAGAAGCCGACGGGGAAGCCCGGCATGACCGACGGGGAAACCAGAGTCGTGTCCACGGCCTAGAGGGTTTGAGGAGCGGGGGGAGAGGAACGGGGATGGGGAGGGGGGAGGGGAGGCGGTGGGGGCGCGGAGGGGGCAGGGGAGGAGGAGGAGAGAGGGAGGAGAGGGAGGATGAGACAGGGAGGAGAGGAGAAATGCCACAGAGAGAAAGGAGAAACCATAGACAAGAGGAACACAAGGGGGAAGAGGACAGGCTAGGCGAGCCCGTGCCATGTCTGACGGCCTGCCCAGTCCCCCCATCCCTTCCCATTACGCTGACTGTATCTCTGTCCGCCGACGCGTGTCAGCGGACTTGGACTCCAAGACGGGCCCCCATCGTGCTCTGCGCAGTCAGAACAGGGGAGCTGCGCACACTGGAGGTGGAGGTACCGGATGAGCAGGGACATTCGCAGGAGGATGGGCAGGAGAAGAAGGAGGAGGGGGAGGAGGTCAAGGAAGATGAGCAGGAGGAGGACAAGGACGAACCGCAGCAGAACGAGCTAGAGTGGAATGAAGGGCAGGAGCAGAAGGACTCGGATCCAGAACAGTGGCCCCAACTGGGGCGACAACGATGAGGAAGGACTCGGATCCAGAACAGTGGCCCCAACTGGGGCGAGAGCGTCATTCTGAACGATAGGAGTGAAGCGCCGATCCAAAAAGGAGGCCGGTCCGCGCTGCATCGAAAGTATTCTGGAAGGACCGGGCACGTTTGGATTGACAAAACATGAAAAATGAACAGTTCGGACCTGTCCCGTTTGTACAAGAGACGCGGGGGGCGTGCGCCTCGTAGGACGTCGTTCGAAGTAGTAGTAGTAGTAGTAGTAGTAGTAGTAGTAGTAGTAGTAGTAGAAGTAGTAGTAGTAGTAGTAGTAGTAATAGTAGTAGTAGTAGTAGTAGTTGTTGTAGTAGTAGTAGTAGTAGTAGTAGGGTCACCCGTCGTGTATGGCCGGCCTGTTTATGGCCGGTAGTTTGGTAGGGTTTCTATACAAGTGTACGAAAGCCTGATATAAACGAGGCGTCCTTCACACTTGACCTATGGCCTGCACGCTGTGAGGAATCCTAAGGAATTCTCGGGGGAATCCTTAAGAATTCTCAAGGAAACCTAAGGAGTCCCCCAGGAACCCGAAAGAATTCTCCAGGAATCCGATGGAATTCCGGAGGAATCCCGAGGAATACATCAGGAATCCGAAGGAATCCCTGAGGAGTCCTGAGGGATTTTCCAGGAATCCTAGGGAAATCTCTTGGAATCCTCAGGAATTCTTCAGGATCCCCAAGGAAGCCTGCAGGAAACCTGAAGATTTTTCCAGGAAGTTCCCAGGAATCCGAAGGAATCCTCGGGAATCCTGAAGGAATCTTGAGGAAATTTTCAGGGAGCCTAAGGAATCCTTGCGGAATCCCAAAGAAGCCTCCAGGAAACCTAAAGAATGGTCAGGAATCTTGAGGAAGTCTCCAGGAACCCCAATGAATTCTTCAGGAACCCTAAGGAATGCCAAAGGAATCCATAGGAATGTTTAAAGAATCCCAAGGAATGCAGCAGGAATCCTAAGGAATCTCACAGGAATCCGAAGGAATCCTGGAGGAATCCTAAGGAATTCGCAGGAATCCTAAGGAATTCGCTAGGAATTCTTAGGACGCCCCCAGGAATCTGAAGGGATCCATGAGGAATCCCAAGGAATCCTTGAGATTCCACAGGAATTCTAAAGGAATCTCCGGGAATCCGCAGGGATTCCTTAGGAATTCTCAAAGAATCCTAAGGAAGCCACCAGGAATCCCAAGGAAGTCGCTGGGAATCTTAAGGAAGTCTCGAGGAATCCGGAGGAAGTCTCCAGGAATCCTAAGGCATTCCCGAGGCATCCCAAGGAATGCTCGAGGAATCCTCAGGAAATTCCGGTGAATCCTGAGGCTTCCTCGGTGAATCCTAATGACTGACCCCGAAGATTCCTAAGGAAGTCTCGAGGAGTCCTCAGGACTTCTCGACGGTTTCCAATAGAAAACTACTATAAAAACAATTGGTTTTCAAGAGAAAACTAAAAGAAACAATTGGTTTCCAATAGAGAACTAAGTAAAACCATTGGATTCGAGTAGAAAACTGATTAACGCCATTGCCTCCCAATGGAAAACTAATAAAACCCATTGCTTTTCAATAGAAAACTAATTGAAAAAGTGGTTTCCAATAGAAAACAAATTAAAACCATTGGTTCCCAATACAAAAATAATACAAACCATTGGTTTCCAATAGAAAACTAATTAAAACCATTGGTTCCCCATAGAAAACTAATTAAGACAATTTGTGTTCAATAGAAAACGAAACCAAACCATTGGCTTTCAGTAGAAAACTAATTAAAACAATTGGTTTCCAATAGACCACAAAGAAAACCGAACCCAAACCCAAACCCAAACCAAAGCCCAAACCCACACCTCACCGGCCATAAGTCAATTGTGACCCTAGTAGTAGTAGTAGTAGTAGTAGTAGTAGTAGTAGTAGTAGTAGTAGTAGTAGTAGTAGTAGTCGTAGTAGTCGTAGTAGTCGTAGTAGTCGTAGTAGTAGTAGTAGTAGTAGTAGTAGTCGTAGTAGTAGTAGTAGTAGTAGTAGTAGTATAGTAGTAGTAGTAGTAGTAGTAGTAGTAGTAGTAGTAGTAGTAGTAGTAGTAGTAGTAGTAGTAGTAGTAGTAGTAGTAGTAGTAGTAGTAGTAGTAGTCGTAGTAGTAGTAGTAGTAGTAGTGTAGTAGTAGTAGTAGTAGTAGTAGTAGTAGTAGTAGTAGTAGTAGTAGTAGTAGTAGTAGTAGTAGTAGTAGTAGGAGTAGTAGTAGTAGTAGTAGTAGTAGTTGACGTAGTAGTAGTAGTAGTAGTAGTAGTAGTAGTAGTAGTAGTAGTAGTAGTGGTAGTAGTAGTAGTAGTACTGGTAGTAGTAGCTGTAGTTGTAGTCACCGTCGTGTTCTTATTATTCCCAACCCTCCTGCGTTGGGTACTCGTTTTGAATAGAGCACTGCGGTCTCCGTCCTCCTCCTCCCGCCCCCCCCTCTCTTCCCTCCTCCTCTCCTCTCTTGCTTGCCTTCTCCTCCTCTCTTCGCTCCTCCTCTTCTCTTCTCTTGCCTTTCACGTCATCCCTGGCGGGCTGCGATCTGCGGAACTGTCACCACTTTCGAGGGCTGCTGGTGGGTCCAGCGGAGTGAGGCACCACGGGGACTCAGATTAGACCTCGCCATCCCTGGGGGGGGGGCTGCGATCTGTGAAACTGTCGCCACTTTCGAGGGCTGCTGGTGGGTCCAGCGGAGTGAGGCACCACGGGGACTCAGATTAGACCTCGCCATCTCTGGGGGGGGCTGCGATCTGTGAAACTGTCGCCACTTTCGAGGGCTGCTGGTGGGTCCAGCGGAGTGAGGCACCACGGGGATTCAGATTAGACCTCGCCATCTCTGGGGGGCTGCGATCTGTGAAACTGTCGCCACTTTCGAGGGCTGCTGGTGGGTCCAGCGGAGTGAGGCACCACGGGGACTCAGATTAGACCTCGCCATCTTTGGGGGGCTGCGATCTGTGAAACTGTCGCCACTTTCGAGGGTTGCTGGTGGGTCCAGCGGGTTGAGGCACCACGGGGACTCAGATTAGACCTCGCCATCCCTGTGTGAAACTGTCGCCACTTTCGAGGCTGCTGGTGGGTCCAGCGGAGTGAGGCACCACGGGGACTCAGATTAGATCTCGCCACCCCTGGGCGGCTGCGATCTGTGAAACTGTCGCCACTTTCGAGGGCTGCTGGTGGGTGGCCAGCGGAGTGAGGCACCACGGGGACTCAGATTCTGACCACGAGCAATGCTCGCGTGCCCTTGCTCTGCGGTTCGTGCCACGTGGCGCTGCGACTCGAGCTGGCGGTCGTCCTTCGGACCCGCAGAAACATTTGCTGAGCTCGATGAGCTAGGGGAACTACAGGAAAGAAGTGCAGGAAACGGAGGCCGGTCATGCACTCGCCGATACCTCGTTGCTCTGTCATCGTCTTTGCTGTTGCATGATCCTTATCTGGCCTGCCGGCGCCGCGGCTCGAGCTGGCGGTCGCCCTTCGGGCCCGCGGGAACATCTTCTGAGACAAGTGGACGCCGCCGCCTTACTTGCAGGCAGCGCATTGCATTCGCGGACAGCAGCATGGCAGACCGCAGTGAGATCCTCAGTCGCGTGGTGTTGCCAAGCCTGGTGGAGACGCGCGTGATCGACCTGAAGTCCCAATCGCGCGTGCACTGTACCTGCGTGGCGTTCAGGCACGCGCGTGATGCTGCTCGCTCCGCGTTCAACCAGTACGTCGCCAGTGCAACTTTGGACGATGGACAACCGATTGATGATGCGCGACCCCGGCCTTGAGTTTCTTTCCCGCGGGCCGCCCGCAGACTTGGCGGCGCGCCTGCGAGCGTTCAGCTCCCGCGCTGAAATGTGCGGGAAGGAGGCGGAGAAGCTAGCGGGCGAGCTACGCCTCGCTCGTTCCTTGCACTCTAAACAAGTTCTATCATGTGGAACTCTGCGACGACATGGCGCAGGCAGCGCTGCGGGTTTAGCTCGCACTTGAAAAACGCCGCAGTATTATGTCTCCTCCCGCCACTTTCATCGTCGTCCTATTCCCCGCCTCACCTTCTCCATGCATGCTGCTGCTTCCGCGATGGCCTTTCGCCCCCCCCGCCCTCCATTCCATCCCTCTCCTACCCCTCGTTCCCGTGCCCGTTCTTCTTCGATCCTGGGGCCTCAAGCCTCGTTCTTTCGATCATCGTCCTGTCAATCGTGCAACGCATGCGCATCCCATGTAGCTTGCACAGCAAATCGCCGCGTCTACACTGTCGTTGTTCCTGCTAATGTTGGCATACTCCTCTTGCCATTGGATGCGCGTGGGTTGGGTACGTCGCATGGTAATTCTTATTCATAGTAGTAGTAGTAGTAGCCGCCATAGTCGCAGTCGTACTCGTAATGATGCTCGTAGTCGTAGTAGAAATAGTAGTAGCAGTCGTCGTGGTCGTCGTCGTAGTAGTAGTAGTAG